AGAAGGCAAATTCCATGTTAGGCACAATTAGTAGCTGAATAGAAAATAGAACTGCCAGATCTTAACGCCCCTTATATAAATCTTTGGCGCAATCACACTTGGAATATTTGTTTAGTTCTGGTTGCCTTACTTGGAAAAGGGCATTATTGAATGAACTGGCAAAGTCACAGAGAATGGCAGTGAAAATAATCAGGGGCTGGAGCAGCTTCCCTCTGAGGAAATGCTGCAGCAACTGGGACTGTTCAGGTAAGGAAAAAAGGACAAGGAAGGGGAGAGACGAAAGAGGTGCTTGAAAGACTGCATGGTGTGCAGAGAGAGGAGAGGGAGGCATTTTTCTCCCTCTCCCCTAGCACTTGAACCCAGGATCATCCCATGATTGACGGGAGGTTTAGGACAGATAAAAGGAAGCACTTCCTCACACAGTCTATAGTAAAACTGTGGAATTTGCTGCCACAGGACGTGAACAGATGCATGAGGAAGGAGGCGATCTGTGGCTGCTAGCTTTGCCGGCTGTGTGTTGCCTTGCTTAGCGGAGGTGGCGTGCCTTCGTTCACCAGTTACCGAGGAGCTTGGGCAAGAGGAGGTCATGCATCCATCCTGCTTGAGTGATCCTGTGGACACCTGGTTTGCCACTGTGTGTACTGAGTGCTGGACTAGATGGACTTCTGGTCTGATCTAGCATGCCTTTTCCTATGTTCTTATGAGGTCTCTTGTTTTTCTTCTCTTCCTTTCCTCTCTCTTTCCTCTCTTCCACTCTTTGCACTGGTCACAAAGATAATATAGAATAGCTTTCTCCAATAAAGTGAATAGTCACCTGCACATCTATAGAATTCATGTGCTCAGTTTAAGTACATCTTGACTTGAGAGCTGCCTTTAGTAGTCATGGGAAGCTGCTTTCCACTGAGTCGCAGCACTGATCCAGCTAGCTCAGTATTGTCTCCACTAACTGAGATCTCCACAACCTCAGGCAGAGGTTAGCAATATGCTCCACAGAATGCTGTTTTGCATCTCTTACTGTCTTCTTGCATCTCCTTTGTGCAAGCTTATGCTCTCTTTCATTTTTCTCATTTGAGCAAGGCTTCCATATTCTGAAGGAAACTGCCTTTTCTCTACTGGCTTCCTTGAAAGTGTTCATTAGTAATTCTGGTGACTTCCTGAACTTGGTGCTACCTTTCCCCATTTGTGGTACACATTCTAAATGAGCTTTTGTTACTGTAATTTTGAGTAATCTCCAAGCATTTTGAAGGGATTTAACTCTCTTGACTCCCCCCTCAATTTTTTACTGGTTCTCTCATTTTAGAAGTTTCTTCTTTAGAAGGCAAATAATTGTGTTAGATTCATCCGGCAGTTTTCCACTTAAATATATATTAAATCTGATAGCACCGTGGGCCCTGTTTCTCATTAGTCCAACTAACAAGATCATTTACATCTCATATGTGTTCCTTGGTGGCACTACTTAGGATTAAATCCAGGGTCTTCTGCACTCTGGTCAATACCATGACAAACTATTTTAGGGTACAATCATTTAGGGTGTTGAAAAATGTAGCCTCTTTGACTGAGTGAATGCATGTTCCAGATATGGCAATGTGGGGGTAACTGAAGAAACTCATTATTGCAATATGTCCTTACTTGAAGGCCTTCTTCATTTCTTTTACCCTGGGCATTCTGGTCTGTGGGATGATAGCCTGTTCCTCATACGAAATTCGTTTTGGAATCTGATATTATTGCACACGGTGCTTCTCAGGAGGGTCTGCCCCTTTTAGGTCTCTTAGTCTGCTTGACATCATGTTCTCTTCAATGTACAGGGCAGCATCTCCACCAGTACTCCCTTCTGGTCCTTCCCATAGAGTTTATATGAAGAAATGACTATCCCGCTGGTTCACTGACTTCCACACATTGCACAATTATCACAGTAACAACAAATCACAGTAAAAGCCACCTCATCAGACAAACTCTTCACACACTGTAGTGTTGTAGCCAGGCCAGTTCAGGGAGCCACTTAACTGGTAGATTTCAATTCTGTTTGAGTAAAAACTTTTAGGAGCTCTTGGCATATGTTCTTTTCATTTCATTCTCTGTTCATCAAGAAGCAATGCCTCTCTGCATGATAATACTGTTGGAGAAGCAGTCACCACCCAAGACTTCTGGCTTGTATCTCCCCTTACAAACTAGGACCTGTCAACCAAGAAACCCTGATTTATGTCCCTGGCTTATAAGGGATGGAAGAAGCCAGGAACTCCATTTTGATGACACTGAATATTTGTTTTCTGGTTATTTTATCACTCCTGTTTATGGAAGAGCCATGTGGAAGTGAACAGTTTGTATGCATGAATGTGTAATTTGTTCACAGTTAATCAGGAAGAGTTGAGAGAGACCATAGGAACTGCTGATAGGGCAGGGTAGAACAGAAGTAGGCAACCTCTTGGCCTTGTGGGCTCATATAGAACTTTGAAAAGTAAAGTAAAAGAAAAGAAAAGTAAAAAAGTAAAACAATCATAAAATGGCTGCCATGGGTGGGCACGGCTAGTCACAAAAGAAAGGAAACCTGCCCAGAGGCATTCATGGGAAATTAAGATGGCCGCAGTTGGGGTTAACCCTTTTCTTTGCACTGTTTTCTGCTGGTATCCTTCCCCTCTGTGAAGACATTTTCATTTTAAAATGGAGGAGAATTCTAATTATTGGATGCAAAGGTGTGATTCAATATTGTACCTAGTTTAAAATTCCTCAGGTGAATGACTTTAAGCCTTAGTTTCTCCATTAGGTTAAAACAGTAATTAAATGACAAATATTTGTCTTTTTATTTTTTATTGAGAACTTCCTCATTTTGACCTCTTTTTTTTTAATCAGTGCTGCTCCTCCACCCTATTTCACCATAAAGGCTGAGCCAACTGTTATGGCCCATGCCATAGATCAGCTTTGCCTAGAATTAGATGAAGAAACTTCAGCACGGTACATATTCTTTCTCATTTCTTCAAAAGGGTGACTTAATTAAATCAAGTCAAAGATACATACAGTACAGCAGGTGAAACCTCCAGTAGCATAAACAGATCAATAAACCGATTTGTGTTTGCTGACTAGAAGAGATTTCTAATTACTAGTGCTCTGTACTACTCATTTCTGATGGTGCTGGAGTAATTGAAAGGATAAGAAATCCAATTCCCTCTTGTTTGAGAGTTTGTTTCTGTTTAGCTTCACTTAAGTGGGCTGGTAATGCTGACTTGTCTGTCGTAACTGAAGGTGGTAATTTATTTCCAGTTGTCCTACTTCACTATTCAAAAGTTGCTTTGAATGTAGGCAGGACTTCATTTTTTAGAGGTTTCAAATGATGTGACTCAGCATAATTAATATTGTTTTCTGGCTAAAAACACATTGTGAAAACTGGCCCAGAGTTCCTGGGTCTTTTTTGTTCAAATTCTAGGCCAAATAGGAGTGGGGAGAACAAAGTTTGTTGGATGTACAGTCATTAGTAGTTCTGAATGAAAATTATGTACCAGGTTATGAACTTATAGAAATAGCACATTTTCAGAACTGAAGCAAATACTGGAAGTTTTTAATTGCTGTAATTTCCAAGATTACTGCATGTAGGATGGAACCATAAATACAGGTCACAGTGCAATGATACTCTTTACATAAGTGTGGAAGGGCACAACAACACTGCTTTCAATTCTTCCCTCTTTCCTTCAGCATCCATGAGCTTTTTAAGGATTTCATTTAGTATGGCAGGAAATTTCCTGAAATCCTATTAGAAGTTTGAATGCAACATTCTTAAAATTCCTAGTATTAGTAAAAGACTTTTTGATTTTTGCAGAGAGAAAAGGAAGGCACATTCTGGGCTGTTGGCCTAATCTGGCCCACAGGTGTGCTCACACCTGCTCAAGGGGGCTGACCACCCTGCACAGGCCTGGTCCCCTACCCATGCCCAAGCTCCTGCACCTCCTTAAGCTTCATGGCCTGGTGTGGAGGCTTGGAAAGGAGATGGGGAAAATGAATCCTGCCGTTATCTCTGATGGGATATTGCACAACCCAAAGAAGAATCATTGTTACTTCTGATCAGAGATAACATGGTATTTCCCTTACTTGCAGGACCAGTTTCTTCAGCCCTTGTCAAGTCCCTTCCTCTGTGTCAAGAAAGGCACAGAGCTCTTATGCTTCTGACGCTATGGAGGAAAAAGAAGGGCTAGAGTGTGACAGCACGACGTCACAAGATGAGCCAGGGCTTTGGGGGCCTTTTGATGTTATCTGCCTCATTGACTTGGTCCAAGGTGGCATTCCAGTCCCCAGACCTAAAAACACCCCTGGCCCTGGCCGTAGAAAGATGGAAAAGGCATAGTCATCACAGCAGGAAGATCAGCTCTCAAATCCTGTTGACCGTCCTTTTCAAACGGGGGCTCTATAGCTATGTCACCACTAGAATTCCCATGATGCCCAGCCAGCACTGCTGATTGGTGCTTTAGCATATGTGATGTAGTGTTTGTGCATGTGTGTGAATAGCTTACCGATGAATTCTGTATGGGAAGAGGCTTCAAGGCCTAACTACCTGTTACACTCTTGGTGCTGCATGCTTCCACATCAGAAGGACCTACACTTTTTGCTTCTTGGTGTTTGTGGGGGATAGAGAGAGTTCCATTGGAATGGCAACATGCATGAAGGGGAGGTTTAATTCTTCCCTCCCCAGCCAAGATACTGACAGAATCAGATACTTTCTCCTGCAGTTGACAATACTGCTTTCTGGGAGGAGTTTAGGCAATCTAGTTGCTTTCAGCCATGTAAGTCAAATTTGAGCCGCATCTGTGGCTTCTTCCCATGCTGCTTTGGAAAAGTACAGATGAAAGAATAATTAATGATGTGGTTCCTTCTTGGAGCAGGTACCTTGGGCATGCTTTAAAACAAACAAGTTAGCTCTCTCAGTATTCCCTCTTAATTCAGTGATGGTTGAATATTTATTGCCAGTGTTATAATGATGCTTTTTTCCCTGCTCCTTTTTTCTCTATAATTTTCAGCCATGGCCCAGCGTGTCCAATCTTGCTAAGGATTTCATTGACCGCCTGCTCACAGTGGATCCTAGTGACCGCATGACAGCACTTCAAGCCTTAAAGCACCCCTGGGTGGTCAGCATGGCTGCTTCTTCTTCCATGAAGAACTTGCATCGCTCTATCTCTCAGAACCTGCTCAAGAGGGCATCGTCTCGTTGCCAAAGCACCAAATCAGCTCAGTCTACCCGTTCTAGCCGCTCCACCAAATCCAACAAGTCCCGGCGAGTACGAGAACGGGAGTTACGAGAGTTGAACTTGCGTTATCAACAGCAGTGCAATGGCTGACAATTCAGCAACATTCAGACCAGTCCATTCTTCTTCCATCGTCAGGACATGTTCTGCACTGTGTCTATTAAGAGGGGCTTGGGCTCCACTTGCCCTCTTTTTTATCTCAAAGACCAACCTTCTTCTTGTCTTGAAGGAGATGCAGCTTTTGGGACACTTCACCCAGGTAGGGTCAGTTAACAGTATCTGTCCCAAGATGGGGAATTGGAAAAGTCTGTTTCGTTGCCTGACATACTGGAGCCACACGGAAGAGAAGATTCTTACCCAGCCTGGAATCTTTACTGTTCCTATCTATTTATTGACTTCAAGTTAACAAAAAATCATCCTTGTTGCTACAGGGTCTGGTCATCTGGAATACAATCTTCTACCCACTCACCTGGGAGAAATCACTATCAGACTCCTTGGGACTGACTTCTGAGTAGACACATATAGGGTTGCACTCTCTTTAAGGGGGAGGACTTTCAAAAGGTGTCTCCTTGATTTAAAATCAGGATCAAAGGACATCTGGATGTGCCCAAAGCACTTCTCCAAGAGAATACAGAGGGATGGCTAAGTTTCTCTTGTGGCTGCAGCTTCTCACACTGTATCAAACATTACTCCAGAGCTTCTGATAACATTAGAAGTGGTTTTGGGGGGGCATAAGGGGCTGGAATGGGGAGATCTGAAAGCCCCCTGTATGTGTGGAGCACTGTGTGCATCTCTCTGGAGGCTCATTTTGCAGCCTTTGTTTCTCAGAGTCACAATTTTCACTAAAACAACTGCCTTCCATCCATATTGCTGTAAAATGAGGACCAAATTCTACATTGGTTCTGGTGCAAGAAATCAGAGATTATCACTGCTAGTGCTCTTCTCCCTCTTTCCCTCCACTTGCTTCTTAAACCTGAGAAAGGGTTGTGCCTTAATCACATAGCCTTGCTGGAAATGGGCTGGGCTCGACTTTGTCCCCCCTCCTTTTCTCCCACGTATTTTGGAGTATTGTCTTGGTTTCCATTATATCTTTCCATTTAATGCTGGGATGAATTATAGCCAACCCAGTCATTGTTCTGACTCAGCCGAAGCTCCGGTGTGTGACTCAGTAATGCAACATTGAAAGCAACCGAGAAAACCACGGGCAGCTTTCTTCTCTCTTCCAGCATCCTATGCACATATCAGAGCACCTCCCACCCCAGCAGCGACATCAAAGTTACAGGTCGCCATAAAGGTCTGAGTTAAAAGCTTTAGTGGGTTCTGACAACAGCAATGCCTTCCTCTGCAGATGGCACAGTGGGGTGCAGACAGTGCAGCTTAGAATCATAAAATTACGGTAGCTTAACGGGACCCAAAGATAATCTACAGTGTACCCCACCCCCCATGGATTAACCCACTTTTTCTGGTTTTAGTGTTCTGCAAGCAAAGAGGCAGAGAGCAAATGAGGTAGCTCAGTGCCGGAGCTGCCTCTTGAATCAACATGAAACGATCCCGATGGTCACAGTGAAAAAATTTGCTGCATATTACAGCAGCAAATCTCCAAAGTTGCTAGCCAACATGAGCAGGGGAAGGAGTTATTCCGTCTGTCTTCAACTTGGTCAGGTCTGAATATGTAGCAGAATGTGTTGCCTTAGCCTTGAAAAGGTCTGATTGACTCTCAGTTCAGGCAGCAGATGGGAGATTGCTTTTGGAATGTTCCTCTGTGGAAAAATATCTCCATGCATGTTAAAAACTAGTAGTTCAAGGAGCAAGCTAGAAAATTATTTTTCTGATGTGCTAGTTTTTCCCATTTTCAGGGCATATTTACAGAGGGATGAGAGTGGATTTAAAAAAGGCAATGATATTTTATTTCCACATTCTCCAGACCAGGCCAAACCATTGTCTCCCAGCTTGAAGCAAAGCTCACTCAATAGGCCTTCTAAAGGCTCTGTGAGATGTGTGTTCCTTGCTACGAGGAAGTCAGCAAGTGGAATGCGTGAGCTTCAGTCACTTTCCTTGTGCTATTTTTGATTGGAACAGGACCTTTTCAAGAGCTCTATTTCAGAAAAAACACCTATTCCATCCTATGGTGGTGCAACTTGTTTTTGCTAAGCAGAGTCACCCGAAATTGGCTTAAGGTCATTCCTGTCAGGCATAGTAGGCAGAGGGCAGTATCATTTTGGACAGTATCCTTAGCATAGACAAAACCTGCTTCTGTTATGATGAACAGTGACTCAGCCAGAAGTGTCAGGAACCAGGGTGCTGGAGGTGTCTGCAAGCAATGCTACTGCAGTGGGTTACTCCTCTTGCACACTTGAGTACCTTCTGCTACACACACACACACACAGAGGGAGAGGGAGAGGGTGGGGGAGCTGCTCTGCTGGCTGTCACTTGGGGCTGCTCATTAGCAAGGATCTAATTCTGCCCTCACCTTCCTGAGTCATAGTCAAGGTAAATGGACCGTGGGGCTTATGCACTTAGGAAGGTTCAATCTAGTTTTGCTACAGTGGGATTGGTTTATCTCTGCATTTCTCCAGTAAATGATTTCTCAGGCCAGAGTGACATCTAGTGGTTCAGGATACTCTTGTTCTCTTGCAAGTGATCTGGCTTTTATTGATGCTTTACTTCATACAGTGCAACAACCTGTTCTGTACAACCACAACAGCCCACTGCTGGCACACACCACAGTGTTTTTAAGACAAAGTGGGCTGAGGCTTAGGTGGCAGCCATCTGGAATATTCTGTGCCTAAATACAGCTTGTCATGTGTGAACCCAAGGACATGTTGATTATGTAAGGGTTAAACAACCCTTGGATAACCCATGGGCTCTTTTTGAGCTATATGAAGGTTGTTTAACTTTCACATAAACTACAGTTCCCAGCTTGACAAGCTGCAGCTGGATGTTGAATATGCAAATCATGGCTGGACCACATCACAGCCCGCCATAGCTTTAGTAAGTCATTCTGGACTGCTTTGATCATCTGACCCAGGTGCTTCAGTGAAGATTAGTTTGCAGTTAGATGCACCTGGTAGTGTGGCTAGAAAGTATGAGACTGTGTGCTGAGACTGTGTAGTTCTTCTAATTAACTTTTGTGGTGTGTATTTTACTGTGGAAGATATTGAGGTACAATGAAGAAGTCTCTTTTTCCCATTTCTTCCTATTTTTGTTGCCTATTCGGGGCAGGACACCAGTTTGGAGGTGGCTCACCCTGTTAGACCTGTACTATTGTCTGCAAAGGTCATTCTTACCTAAGTGTACAGGAATTTGCTTTATGTGGGATGGCAACCTGTACATGCTAGCAAGCTCTAATGAAATAAAAATTGTGAAAAATTAGAATGCTTTAAAAAAGCATTTCTAAGTCAAGAAAAATAACCTTATAGCCTCATTCTTCTGTCACCTCTGGGGTCAGCACAGTGCCTGGCACATACTTTCTTCTCTCCTGTTCTGCATTCATGCCAGCACAAGGCTGCCAAGCTGTTCTGTTGTCTGTATTTACTTCGACACATGTTACGATGACTACATTTGTGTACCAAGTCCTCTCTGAATTTGGCGATCAGTCCCTGCCTCGCAGAGCCCCTTCCTTCTCTTTTGAAAAAGTAAATGTAAATATATTGGAACTTAGCAATACTGTGTGAAAAGAAAACCCCCAGAAAACTCATTTTTTGTGGTATGAAATCCATCTGTTCACTGGAAAATGGGATGAGGACAATAGGTTATGTGTTAATTTTCCTAATATGAGGGGATTCCAGTGACATAACTGATAATGGAGTGGGGGATATCATGGCTGTGTCATTGCAAGTGTCTGTTCCACGGTTTGTGGATGAGGATCAGCAAATATCCAGGTCACTTTCCGACATTTTCAAAAGTCCTCTTCTTGCACAGTGCTTTGCAGTGTCATTGTACTTTCATTCCAGCCAGCAGAGTTAGGAAAATCTATTCCTTTGGGACCAGGGACCTTAGGGCAACTTAAACGAGGGCAGACTGGACTAGGGTGCTATTCAAATTAGTGTCTTGACTTCTGTTGAGTACTCTAATGTTGAGGGCAGTATTTCTTGAAGCTTTTCCTCCATGAGTCCAAGCCTGTTTTTACAGATGAGTGAAGAGGTCACTTGTCTTCCTGTTTCCCCCTGAGTAAACTCTGAGATGGCCCATTCCAGGGAGCCCTCATATTTATCGTTTCCTAGCCAAGGGGCTGCTATTTTGAGTTGCAGTTGGAAGTTCCCGCCTGGACTGGGTTCCTCCGCCCTAGCCTCATGTTCACTGATGCTCTGTGATCCAAGAATTCCTTAGGCTTATATAAGCATTTCTGTAGACATTCTAGGCCTCCACTTCCCTTTTCCTCAGAATTCCTCTCCTTGTTGTGCACTGAAGGCTTTTCCTGACCACCCACTGAGTTTTGGGGGAGAGGTTTAGTTGTACAGTATTGGACTCCACAGTTGGAAGGGGAGGCCCCTGCCCCTTGGTTTGTTTATGAATGGCTTTTTTGGCCCTAGCTATTGAGGATGCCTGAGACTGGGTAAGCCATGTGGAAAATACACGGATCCCTGTGCTGGTACCAGCTTAGGCTGGCAGCACTATGTGTAACAGAGTAAGCCCCAGAAAGCACAATTTACACAAAACTGTGTGTCCTGAAACTTCAGATACCCCTGCCGTCCCCACCCTGGTTCATTTCTTTCTTCCATTAATGCTATGGAGCCAGCAGTTCACATGCAGCCATTGCTTTAGTTACCACGTCCGCTCCGCTGACAGTGTGTTTTCAGCTGAAGAGATTTGGCTGTGGCCACTTTCTTCAGATGCATCTGGAATTGCTGCAGGGATATGAATTGTGGCTGCAGCTCAGGCTTCCTCCCACACTGTGAAGAGGGCTTCTTCCAGATACAGGGCCCCCACTCCTTGAGGGCCAAACTGCAGATGGCAGCACCAACGCCTGTTCGGTGCCATCTTCCCTGTGAGCTGCTCCATTCCTTCATGCACGTCCCTTTCAGTTGCACTCACAGTGAGGAAGAGCAAGATAAGGTTGGGAGACGTGGCGCAGGCAAAAGTGACACGAGGGGTTCAGCAGAGAGCCTGTGTCTGCCAAAGGCTGTAGTTTAGCCCTCAGTCAGCAAAGTCTGTGAATAAGCTAAAACTGCTATCAGTGAAAGCCTCTGTGGCTGATCATGGTGCAGCGGGTAGAGATGCATTCTGGCTGACGCTGGTTTCCCTTCTTTCTGACACATACTAAACCGAAGGCTGAAAATGTGTTCTCTTGATCGCAGTCGAGCAGAATGTGTTGAGCATCTTGTGAAACCCCACTATTAATAAAGCAGCTAAGATGGGCTTCTGAGGATTTCTCACTAGCATTCTGCAAACAGCAGAGCACCAGAAAAAGATGGGAGAGGGGTTGCAAATGGTAGTCAGCTGCGTAAACTTTTGCCATAATTTTGAAAGTTGCCTGTGCCACATAGGCTGTACAGATTTTACTCCTGTTAACACATGCCTTCTTTAAACCAAATAAGGTCACTTCCCTTGGAATTCCTAGATTAAGACCAAAAGAACTTGCATCACTAGTAATGCACACTCTTCATCCATGTATGTTTCTTCTGCAACTGCCTCCCCTTTCCCCCCCAGTTATGCTGCAAACTGGTTTTGAAGGGTGTTAGAAGGAGCTTGATAAGGCACAAGGGCCCAGTGTTCAAAGGAAAACCCCAATACAATGTTAAAAAATCTCTCCCATTTGAGCCATTAGGCATCTCTAAAGCTGCTCTTTGGATCCCATTGCTAATATTTGTCACTCAGAAAAGACATTGCAAAAATGTGAAGTGCATTAATTGACAAAAGGTCCTGTGTCTAGGGCATCTTGCTTGCCACATGGACAAGCCCCCATGGTGAAGATCCGTCATGCCACTGCTTTCCCACCGTTCTGTTTTCCTTCTGCCTTATCTTTGTTTCAGCTGCTCCAGCACACCAAAGTGGAAGGCTGAGTGGCGTGCTTTAACTCCATGGTTTCAGGTTTACAGAGTCTCTTTCCAAATCAGCTTGTGTGCAAATGAACTTCATGCATCTCGAGGAACTGCAGCAGATTGCAGGAGATTTGGGAGCTTGTCGGTGGGCACACTGTGAGCAAACACTACTAATCTGGCCTGTTGCGCATTTATCTGGCACAAAATGAGAGTGCCCTAGAACACACCTGCTGTGGGCTGTGCATGGATTGGGGTTATCAGTGGTACTAAGTTGTCTTTTAGGGAAACCCATTCCCCATTGCTTGTTTTCTCCCCCAGGGGTGCCTGATAAGCAGTCAAAGGGGTTCTCTGGAATGCAGCTAGATAACTGCTGCTTAAAATGAAAAAGGCACACTGTTGCTCTCTGAAGAGTTACAGGGGATTTCTGAGGATTATGCACTCATGGTGGCTTGCGGACTGTGGGATGCCACTCCCTTTTAACCTCCTGTCTGCCTTACCTTCTCCCGTGTCCTGTGAATGTTTTTGTCTTGACCCTTCAGTCCCTCTTGGAAAGTCTGCACTGCAGGCCTTGAGCAACTTTTTCTGGCTTTCCCAGACCCTTTTCTCTCCCAGTACATCTGAATAGCCAAAAGGATTGTTCCAAGCCTTGCCCGTCTTCTCAATGAAACAGTGGGCTGTTTCTTTTTGTCTCAAGTACTCATGTCTGTGATATTTTTTAAACTTCTGCTGCCTTTTTTTACACTATGGAATCTCTACTTTTCTAGAGTGTGATTTGATACATGACAATTAACCTGTAATGTTGAAATTAGTGTATAGAATTATTTATTTTGTATATTCAGTTTTTCAGTGTGTAAATATATCCTGTTTATTCAGTAAAATGTTGATCCTCATGCAGTGTTTGGTGGACTTCTTTTGGCTGACTGGGTGGTGGTGTTTGCTTTAATAGATGCAGTGTGCATGTGAGAGGGGGCCTGGGAGGCCCCTTCTGACTCGCTCTGTTTCTATGTCTCCATATTGGAAGCGGCAGTAGCTCCTGTGCAGTTTTATGGAGGCTCAGGAAGCTTAATACTTCTTCGTCTTACTCTTGTGACATACTAAGAAAGCACAGGATGGGATACTGCCCAGATCTTGCCCAGGTCGCAAAGTGACTTGGATAAGATGAATTTGTTCCATGTGTATTTTTACTTACTGGGGATGCTTCAAGACAAGGCTTTTACTATACAGTTGCCTTGGCTGGTTCACAGAATTTTATGGGCACTCCAGATATTACTGCCTTCATTGGGTAGTCCACTTATAATTTTTACCACTTCTTCTGCCATGTGTCTTACCAGGAAAAAAATTAAAAACATTGAGAGGAGGAAGGGCAGACTACTTGCTCAGCGTCTTTAAGTGTTAGCACTAGGAAATGTTGTTTGGGAACATCCTGGGAAGGCCACTTGAGAGTTAGCCAAGCATAGACTGGTAGAAGGTCCTGCTGTGACCTGTGGAGACTGCAGACAACCTAGAAGTCCATTCCTTGATTTCTTTGGTTTGCAAAGAAGCAGCTGGAATTGCTGTAGGTTCAGAACATGTCCATATGAACATTTGTACTGGAATCCTGAACTGGTGAGTAAGATGAATGAGGTTTGCAAGGAGAACCTTTATTTGATTTATATTGAAAGATGCACCTGTTACCTCTGTTGTGCAAATGTCCTTTGATGCTTTTCCTACATGGAAAGAGGCCTGGCAGCAGAACTTCTGCTTTGGGGCAGTATCAGTTACAAGCTACCACTTGCTCTATCCAGTTGCGGAACTGAGAGACACGGGTGTAGACAGCTGGAGCCCAGACGCTGCAGTTGCTGGTGCCCCAGGAGACAATCCCAATCAAGTTCCATACTGAGCCTTTCTGGCACACAAGAGGGCCACCAGAATCTCCCTAAAGAGGCACAAAAGAGGTCGCTCTTACAAACCTGAATGGCTCCCCAGTGAGTGCTTTGGTACCTTGAGCCGTTTGATACAGGCAGGCAACACAGGGACCGCCACCTGTTTTCACCCATGACCCTTTACCATGAGTTTTGCCGACAGGGACTGATGGGAGGTGCAGGCCAAATCAGGTGGAGGGCCACAAGTTGCCTGCACTCGTTTTAAGAGCATGAGCCGTGGAGAGAGATGCCCTGCAACTTGCCCTCGGCCAGGAACCACCAGGTGACTGTTTCAGTCCTCCACTAATGTGTAATAGATAGGTAATGGGCCTGGCTTTCCTTGCAGGAGATTACGGGGATCAGGTAATCCCAGTACTACTCTGTGTGTTTAGGAAAAGCACTGTATACATGTAGCGCTTAAAATGAGCCATGGTCAGGCCCACCTGGTTTGCAGCATTTGGGGGCACATTGCATAAGGCCTTCCAGGAGGCCCAACCCAAACTGCCATACATGCGAAGGAGGATATTTACAGACCTGACTTGCCAGGCAGCCAGCCAGACTCCTGTTTCTCACCCCTCCACACGCTTGTGTCATCAACGTGATGGCTGCCAGTTTAGATGGCTTTGCAGGAGGATTGGACAGATTCATGGATTATCAGTGGCTATTAGCCATGACAAATGAAAATTCTAACAAAATGTTGTAGGGTACGTGTCCCTTTTCCGCATTCCTGCCAAGCACCCAATACCTCCTTCCAGGATACTCCCTTCCGTTGACCCTCTGGCTCATTTTTCTGCTTTTCTCTTTCAAAAAGCAGTCAGCATTCAGCACCCACAGCCATGGGACACATTCGATTTCAGTTTTCAGTCTCCCTCGGGTAAGGGCTTTTTTCCTGAAAGAATTTTTGTGCTTCTGCAGCTATTGCAGCTTCCTTCTGCCCTATTTATAGTGCTGCCTTGTACATGAGGGTTGCTGCTTAGGTTATATAAGGATCCATGATACTCTGGTCATTCGGCATCATACTGGACAACAATGTTGAAGAGGTTGTCTCAGGGCTTGTCGGTTTCCCAGAGGCCTCCAGCTGGCTGTTCCAGGTGGTGGAGTATGGGATTAGATGAGTCTCTGGCCTCATCTAATGGAGTTCTTTTTGTGGGGAGTGGGTGGGGCTCCCAGACCTGACATTTCCTGGGGGTGGGTGCATAGCTGTTAGGCCTCTAATAGGGGATCCCACTACTGTCCAAAGTGATTTCTTTCTGTCCTCTTTTTCTGCATGCAATCTGTGAAATTGGGTCACCGTGAGTGCTGGGCTCCACAAGGGCGAAATATTTGCTGGGAAGGGAGACTAAGACAGACCTTAGCTCAGCTGCATGGCTCAGCTGCATGGACACTTCTCCTGAACTTAGTCCAGCTGCAAGAAACAGTGTGAGAAGCTACCTTGCAACATAGGATTTCCTGTGCCCTCATCTCACCTTTAACAGGGATCTGCATCTCCAGGGTTTTGCTTGTGGGCTTTTGTATCTGTCATGTGCCTGTGAACAGACTGTGCAAAAGGGCCATGTGGCTTAAAAAGAGGAAATGTTCTGATGTGTGCCCCCTTCTTCAAAAGAATGAAAGTTCCCAAAAAGTACATCCCTCTCTACCCTGGCTCTGCTGTGCCAGGTGCATGCATGCTTGCCTGGCAGGAGCAGGCGCCCACAGCCCCAGCACAGGTTATGGAACTGGTGATTTGGATGCCCCAGTACTGCTGGCATTGGTTCACGGTCACCAAGGGTACGGCCACTTGCTACAGCCTGATTGCTGAGCCGGTTGCTGGGGAGAGAAGCAAACCCCCCAGAATCAGACTCAGTGAAGAAAGAGGGACCACCCACTCACGCTCAGTTGCGCTCTCTTCCCCTCCCCGCCACACTCTTTGCTTCTTCAGCCCTACAGCCACGCCTGGAGGATGCTTATTGGCAAGAAGCTGTGGAGGCTGGTGGCCCCAACGCCAGGGGGGTGAAGTATCCACTCCAGGCTTTAGTCTTAGCTCCTAAAGGAGCTATCCATGGTGCTGAGGCTTGGTCCTCTGGATAGTTCCCTCAAAGATCAGACTGAAATGCAGGGTGGATATGGTGCCCCACTGACATTGGAGCCCCCAGTCTCAATTGAACTGGGAAAATAAGTATCCCTGCTCTTCCAACCTGTAGCTTAACTTGCAACGTCTTTCTGATAAACTTTCTGCTTTGTCCCTGCATTCACTGTGCACTGGGATGGCCAGTAGTGACAAACACCAGGGCTTCTGCAGCTTTAAGTTCTATAGAGGTTGTACCTGTTGGACTCTCATCATCTGCACAACTATTCAAGGTGGAGGAGCTCTGTCCTTAGTTGTACCTGGCTGTCCTACAGTGCAGACTTTGAACCATCCCTCTAGGCTACTTTTCCTTTTTCCAGCCTGCCTTACCTCAGCAGTCCATGTACCTGTGCTACTGGTCTGTCCCCAACCAGTGGTAATGCACTTCAGCCCCGAGGGCAAAGTCTCCGTGGGAGAAGCTAAGCAGATGGGATACATGGGAATTTAATTGGACAGGAGAGGACAGTTTCAACAGGGTGATGTCATTATTCATGGTTCTAGAGTCCCAGTAGGGATGAGTGATGGCCTGGAAAACAAAAGTAAGAGGGAGAGATGTACATGCTGCAAGATCTCACAGGTTTCCCTCTGTTTCTCCCCATGGGATGCTCATAAGAGCTATTGAATCCTACAGAAACAATCCCAAGCCACGTGTGGAATCCCAAGGCTCACCATTTGGAGCCAGATGCAAAGTTGTGGTTCTGAAAAGCAGACACAAATGTCGAACAAGGTGTTTCTGAACCATGCTCAGCACAGGCATTTATTCATTTCCTGTCCCAGAACTGGCATCACACATGCCCTTTCATAAATATATTTCTTTTTTTCCACTAAGCTTCCTTGGTTTTAGCAATCAAATTTAGCCAGGCAGGGGAATCTTTTTGTTGAGCTATTGTTGAACCATCAGACGTTGGAAGTCTACTTCTGCCCACCTGATCCAAGCCCTTATGAAGGGATGTTCTTTGAGGCCCTTCCCAGGGCTGTAGTTGGCATACCAGCTGAAGCTATTAAAGGGCATCCCTAGGAATGTGGGAGGCATGAAGGAAGTTGAGATGCTCACAGTGGTGCCAGCTCATGCAACGAGATGGACTGGGATGGCGTAGATTGGCAAGCCTGCAAATTAGGTAGCAGAGAGAGAAGCAGAAAAGAAATTAGAGAACACAGAATATGTCCACCTCTTTCTTAGAATGAATGGATGGAAGGTTTTCCCTCCACGGTTCACGGTATGGAGCTCTAAGATCCCAGGGGCTGCATAAGTGAGCTGTGTTGGATAATATATCGAGAAACATAGACGCAGGGTGAGTCAGAAGGGGCCTCCTGGGCCATCTAGTCTGACCCCTGGCTCCAGCCGGCTCCACTTCCGCCTTCAGGGAAGGTGAGCTCTGCAGTTGCCCAGTTTCTCTCTGGTGTAGGGGGCAGTCCAGGGAGGAGGTGCTCCAGCCAGGGAGTCCACCTGGGCTTCCAGTGGCATTGCCACACCTAGGAGTGCTCCGTTTCGGGAGCTACCACCCTCTCCAAGTCAAAGGATCAGCCCACTGGATCAGCTCAACGTCTACCATGACATAACCAGATTTGGAAGATTTGGAAAATGAATGCTTCAGACGGAAAGCTAGCATTGTGCGGTGTTCAGAATGTTGGACCAGAAACCTATGAGATCTGTGTTTCCACTTCGCCATACAGTTCTCTGGGTGGTTTTGGGCCAGTCACAGTTTAATCTACCTCCTAGAGTTGTTCTTGTGGGGATAAAATGGAGCTATGTAAGCCAGCTTGGGTTTCCCAGAAGAAGGAAAGAGGTGGGATATAAATAATAATAAAAATGGCTACATTCAAATGTGAATGTTTGAGTCCAAATGTGAATCATAGAATAGTAGATGCTTCCAAACATAGGACTCCTGGCACTACATGGCACAATATAACACCTTGGCAATGGATCTCCTCTGGACTGGTTCTGCTCCAGAGCTTCTGTCAAACTCTCCCAGAATAGCAAAATGGTACTCAGGGCTGGAGGAAAGGAAAATGCTCAGACCACTGCTGTTGCTCTACACACTCCTTTTGTATGCAATATACAAAAGTTTTGATACGCAATAACTTCATGTAGATTTGTAATCTATGTGCTTATTTATGTATTAAATTTGTTTAATGCCACCTATTAGTCTCACACTCTTATAGCTGGACAGAAGAGAGATGGGTATTTCTAATCAGCTATATCTACTTTGGGAGTTTTTTTGTCACAGAATTAAGATTGGAGAACTACAGGATTAACATTTCCTGCTTTTCCACTATCTACCCTTTAGATGGTGCTGTGGCATTGCAGAATGGTACAAGCACACAAGTGGAAAAGATGTTTTCTGTCACTTTTACAATTAAATGCCACATTTTCCCTTCTCTGGGGAAAAGAAACTTGCCAAAAGTGCTTTTTAGACACGAAAACAAAACTGAAGGACCACATTGTTATCTAAAGAATCTGTAAATGACCATGAATGGGGAATGAAGAGTGCACAATAAATCCTTCATGTAGAAAAGCCCTCAGTGAAGCCAGGAGTAGGACGAGATCAGTCAGGTATGCAAGAAACAAGGAAAGTGTCATGAAGTACAAAAGAGAGAGGGAGGTGGGAAGCAGGGATCACTGTCAGGTTCTTCCCTGGCTCAAGTGCTTTGTATATTGTATTTATAATTGCTGTTTTATTGTTATTGTGTGTTTTACAAATTGTGATTTGCTCAGAGGGACTTTGGGCTGATGTAGCAAACAATGAGTCAGAAAATAAATAAATATACTTTACGAGGTGTGTCCAGAAAGTAATGAGAAAAGTCCCTACGCTCGAGAAGGGCTCTGTGAAGGGAGAAGCTGCCCAAGGTCACTTGGGGTGGGTGCCAAGTATACATTAGAACACTGATCAGGTTCATTCCAGCCCTGTCAGAGTTGAGACCTCCTTTTTTCTGACACCCTGTTCAAGTTCCTCATATTAGGAAAAATGCATGTGAGTTTGGAACAGCGGTACATGATAAAATTGTGTGAAATTGGGTAAAAGTACATCAAAAACTTCGGAAATGGTGAGGAAAGCTCATGGAGAAACTGCTATCATCTGCAATCATCTACCCACTTGAAGACTTCCAGGGATGCTATGAAGAATGGAAAAATCACTGGAAGCATTGTGTACACTCACAAGGTGCATACTTTGAAGGAGACAATGTTCAGTTGTAAAATTTTTTGATAAAACAATTTTAAAAATATTCTCATTACTTTCTGGATACCCCTCATATATAAGAATCTGCTTCTAGTTGAAACAAATTGAAAAGTTCCAGTTGGGTTTGCATTGAGACTGGTATTATTATATATTTACTACATTTGTTTCACCGTTCCTTTAAAGTCAGAACGGTGCACATGGTTACCACTCGGTGCCCTCTTCCACTGCAATTTTCTTCCCACAAGAATCGTGAAATGGCTTTGGCTGAGAGATGGAGCTTCATGGTTGAGTGAGAAGCAGAGGGGAGCAAATCATCTGATCTGCTGCTTGGATTCACCAATAGTTCTGCCTTAGCCTGTTGAAAAGGCCCTCCTCTTAACCCATAATATGCCACCAAGAAAACCGAGCTTTTCTTACCTTACATTACAGTGGGCAGCAGTAATAACCCAGTTTGCATTTATCAGGGAACCGCCACAGAAATGGTGATTGGAGCTAGTCTGGAAAAGCAGGAAATAGTGGAGGCTCATCTGGAGTAAACAGTGAGATAACAGAGGCACTCGTCTCTAGCTCTGGTAGCATCAAGGTAGGACTTTGGGGCAGAAGCCCACTTCACAGAAGTGCTGGTGGGCCCTGAAAGGCGGTTGAGTTGGGTTGGGTTGGCACATTTTGAAGGAAGGGAAGTAATGTGCATGACCATGCAGTCCTTGTCCAGAATTGCCCAAAGGCACTACTGGGTGGAGAACTTATCCCCGGCCCCCGGCTCCCCTCACTTTCACCCCAATCCTGTCTGGGGACTGAGCAGAACAGCAACACCATGTTGTGCCATCTCTGTTCACCAGATCAGTGGCTCCAAAAGCTCCCCATGCCAGAATGTGGCTCATCTCTCCTCTCTTTCAAGATGGCTTTGTTCAAGCAAACACCTCCAGGTTATTTCTTCTTGGCTCCTTCTGCAGTCAGTGATTAACAGCTGCTTCTAAAATGACGAGATGTACAAAGGACAACAGGAGGATAAGGAGAAATAGCGGCTTGTGACAATGCCAGTGGGAGGGATGGGGTGTGGATGGCATCATGTCCAGAGCTCTCAACAACTTTAAACTCAGTGGTGTGTGTGTGTGTGTGTGTGTGTGTGTGTGTGTGTGTGTGTGTGATTGGTTGGTCTTTTAACATGGTAGGCCACCCTGGTGAATAGAAAAATGGGACATTTGTTCATTCTTTCATTCACTCAGTTAACTCAGCTAAATAAATTAGCTCTCCCTACCCCCAGTATCTGTCATCTGAAAGTCCTCCATGGTGAACAATTCTCCATACTTAGCAGGTGAACATATATGCAGATTTAATTCTTGGTGATTAAATTGATTAAATCTGTGCTGAAAGAAAGGAGTGGCAACCTGATCAAACCTAGCTCTCCTGAGGAGTCACTATGCCGCAACTGTCAGAGCTCGTCCTTCCTTCTCCGAGGCACCCCACTCCACAGCCAAAGCGGACACGGCCTTACCTGCAGTGATACTTGCCAAGGCCACAAGCCTGGTGTTGCATTCTCTCCGTTGACAATTCTCTCTGCGTCCCTTACATTTGGCTTAATTGATGGGACCCGCAGCCTAGGAAGCAACAAGCGGCCACTGGTAAGATTGGACTGCAGCATCCTTGCTTGCTGTGCTCCAAGCCCAGCTCAGTGTGATTTTGGTGGCGGCGGCAGCGGTGGCAAAACTGATACTTGCAGTAATGAGTTGATTTGCCTATAAATGTCCTACATGTGTGCGTGCAGTTGGAGTGGAGTGGGGAAAACTGCAGTTCCTGCTTGCGGCTGTGGGGTTGTCTGGAAAGAGACAGGAAAGCCAGCGCTGTGTGGGCACCTGCACACACGTGTGTGTAAAAAGAAAGGGGACAGGAGACCCTCGGAGGAAATTCTCTTGCTTTTGCGGTCTGCTCCTCTCTCCTGTAACCAGGTGCACTGGGCAGGAAGCCCCGGGAGCCTGTTTTGCTGGCTGTCTTGTGTGTGCTGAAGGAAGGAAACAGCAGCTTCCTGCCGGCTCCGTGCTCCATCACTCATGAACCAAGAGCGGGCAGGAAGTTCAGAAGGCTCCACCAAGGACCAGGCATCCCTGAGCTTGCAATGCATATGCTGGTACTACTCACCAGAGACAACGCCAAGCAGGGCTACGTAGACAGAAGCTACCCACAAAAAAGCCATTTCAGTTGGTTCAGTTGTATCCCCTGGGAAATTCAGATTGCTCAGGGCTGCCTATTTTATATCACCACAGCAGCTGTACCATGAGCAAGCTGGCACCTGCAGACCTTGAGCTGATAATACCAGCAGGCCAAATTTAGCCTTGTTTTGTGGGCAAGCGCTATGCCAAGAGGTTTCTCTGCCAGCACTACGGAGCTGCCAACGGCACCTGTTTCCCGTAACTGCCTCCACCTCAGGGCTGCAGGAGAGGCTTCATTGTTCAGAATTATCCTGTTCAGTGCTTAGATGCTCAGCCGTGGAATCACCGGAGAGGAGGCAGGCCCCTTGTTCAGGGCTCTGCTTGCGGAGAATTCCCCAGGGCGGTGCTTCTGGATTGGATGTGGGAACTTTGCCATTTAGAGTGTGAAGTGGTGTCAAACACACATTCCTGTCAGCCAGCAAATTAGCTACCCAACCTCAGATCTCCCTTCACCTCCACCTTTTGGGGTTTGTGAGCATATTCGGAAGCAGGAGAAATTGGCATGGGCACAGCCACCAAATGGCTTCCATGGGGCAGGGTGACTCACAGAAAGGTTGCTGTCGGAGTCTGGGGGAAGTTACTCCTGAGGCTCAACCTGTGATTGAGCCTCACTCTTGTAATCAAGCTTCCAAGGCAAGTCAGCTCCATATGCCAAGCCATGTAGTTGCACCCTGCCCCTGCCATGTACAACATAAGGAAAATTGGTACAGTACCACCCCTGGAAATACCACCCTGGCACAGATGAACAGGTGGTGCATACCCCACATACATACACACAAAGCTACAGGCAAAACACAGATGCAGTAAAGCAAAATAATTGCAAGCAAACAGACACATTAAAAAACAGCACGCATACGCAGGGCACACGTACAGCAAAATGCTTCCCACCTGCCTCCCAACCTCCAAACACTCCCTGCTCTTCATCCTCTAGGATCCTCCTTTATGTCTTTGGAAATATTTACCTGTTTACTCGTCGAAACAGATGTACCAATGGTATCTAATATATCCCTAGACTTAGTCCTCACACAGCTTTCTCCTTTCCCTTCTAAATGTCAAATTTTAGATTAAAGTATCTGGGAAGGAGGAAATTAGCTGCTTTATTTTTACTCTGTAAAGTGCAAAGCACAGTGATGATGTGGTATTTGAAGAGAAAGCTGAACTGAATGGAACTTAATCTGACTTACTTCTGAGTATGCAGGTATGGGATTCCACTCCATCTGGTAGCGAACTCAGGGGATGTGTTCTGATAGCTATGAAATCAAAATAGAGCCACTAAGAAACAAGAGGGACATATTGGCACGATTGAACAATCCCCGTGGATTTCAAAACCCTTTAGAAAAGATACTTAAGGGGGAAATTCCCCCCAAAGTCAGCCCCTTTTCAAATCTTCCCACGCTTTCTATGTCTGCAATGAGCAAATCGGTCCAAAATCTGCCTATTTCATCAGCAGAAGAGACTCTTCTTTGAAGTCCACCACCTTCTTGGAGGCCACTCACAGACCGTAGAACTTCTTCTCAAGGGGAGCTCTTTCTCTGCCATTATTCAGCAGATAGGCAAAAGTTGCTTCATTCAGGAAGGCTTTTTTGCCTGTATGTTGGGTTGCCTGCTGTTTCTCTTCTGTAATTGTTACTATATTTTAATGTATTGTCCTCATTTTAGCCAACATTTTCTCTGTAAGCTACCTTAAGTGCCATTTTTGGTAAAAAGGGACGGTAAACATTTATTTAGTTAATTAATTGTTTCTCACTGCTCCCATGCTGCTGCTTTCCAGCCCCGTCTTCTCCAACTTTAAGCAGATTTTTCTGTCCAACATGGGGTAATTCAGTCCACATCTGTAGTGACTTACAACCTCACTCCTCTGTGTCAGTGGTTCCATATGGGATTCATTCTTTTATTTAACTGTTCCACAGTGCACACACCACTTTTCTCAGGGTACGGGAAGATTTATGGAAACAGCCCAATCACAGGTAGGCATGAGGTGTAGTCACCTGTGATTTGGATATGATTCTGCAATAACTCTCTTTTGCCCCAGAACTACTGCCTGCATTGGGATGATCAAACATGGCTGTGTCATAAAAGGTGGGGCACCTTCTCAGGAGTGGAGCAATTGGGTGATGCTGAATTGCCCAACTTTGAATGTTGCATCAGAACCAGGCATTTTTCCCTGGCGCTCCACTTGTCCTCCTTCTCCTGCACATGCTGCATAGGGTGGAGCTCCAAAGAAATGGCCGTCCTCAATGCCGCAGCAAAGCAAGGGAACTCAGTGGCCAAAGGATCATGGAACCACCTTTTCCCGAGTGTTTTCATCCGTGCTTGCTTCCTGGTGCTCATGCCTGGGAATAGACAGGTGTTGTGGATGTTTCATAGCAAGCTCCCTCAGCTCTTGTTTTTTTTAATAATAAGTTTTATTCAAAATATCCCTAAAACAAAGAAAAACTAAAAACAACATCAATCATCAAAAACATCAGACCTGCTGGGTCAGCCCCCACATTTTTTCCATTTATGATAACTTAGAAACATATTTAAATCTGTACAAAGTCCCGTTTCTCTAGCCAATAATAAAAAGAGTCCCAAGTTTGATAGAAATCAATATCTTCTTTCTCCTTCAATGACAAAGTCAATCTATCCATTTCTGCACAGTCCAAGATCTTTTTTAGGATCAGTTCATCGGTGGGTGGTTCTTCACTTTTCCAGTGTTGAGCAAATGCAATCCTCGCCGCAGTAATTACATGTAAAATCAAGTACATTTCTTGTTTACTAATATCAACAGGTATAATGCCTAATAAGAAGACTTCAGGTTTAAAAG